TGTGTGTGTGTGTGTGTGTGTGTGTGTGTGTGGTGTGCTAGTACTAACAGTAGCTTTAATTCAGCGGGTGAAATAAAATTATTTTTATTTTATAACTTTTATGTTTTTATCACCCTGACAGGGTTTGAAAGACCACACACCACAGACTGGTGACCTTAAGCAGCAGTGTTTCAGATCACAGTATTTTACTTCATCCTTCAGTACAGCGTGAGTCATTATTTATTTATTTATCATTTTTGGGCCATGGTTTGCTTAGGCATATTTTATTATTAATATTATTATTATTATTATTTTAATCTTGGCATGATGGATGAATTAAATTAAACTGAAAACCTTTCATTTTCTACATTCACGTGATTTCCTGCTCAAGCCATTTAATCATTAGCATTTTGAAATATCGTTTTTGTTCAAATTACTTTTGTATAAGAAATTAGTTTACATTGGCAAAAGTCAATTACACGATTTTTAAAACATATAAATATTATGAAATAACAGTTTTTTTTTAATTTACTACTGCAAGCACTGCCATTTTTATCTGGTTCGGCGTGAGCTGCAGCGGTCACATGGTATAAGCTGTAACGCTCAAGGTGCGTTCACTTTACCTCGTAATTCATGAAATTTCAAGATTCCAGCTTGTAAAAAGCATTCACGTCCTCCTACAGCTCGTTATTACAGCTTGTAGGCTTTGAGATCCCTCTCAAGCTGTCTCGAGACACCGCGGTGCTACTGCTATGGGGATATAAACCTTCCCTTCTAACCTTTCCTGAAGTCTTATTGGCTCATGGCAGTCCAATTGACTGGCCAAATGAAGCGAAGCATGCATCGTATGCAAATACTGATGAGCTCGCGAGGCAGTATAAAAGGCGATGCTCACGCCAATTGCGTCAGAATCGTCTACTCTACCTCCCAGTGACGAGAGCGTCGTCTTGCCGCTCCGCCAACCCCAACGGTCACCCCCTTCCCCAGTTTCCTTCCCTGAGGACTGCTTCCACCACTACTCTCAGTAAACTACTAGTTTAGTAGTTTTTTGTTTTCTGTCGAAGGCTTTCCAGGAGTTGGAGCTTACCTGGAGTCCTCCAGAGGAGCCTGCCAAGAGTAAGCTCGACTCCTTGTATTTCAGGTCCACCCAGAAAGCTGACTTGAGGCCTTCGGCCCCCTTCTTCCCTGACGTACACAAACAGCTTGTGAAAACATGGTCTGCGTCCCAATCAGCGCACGTCACCTCTGCCACACAAGCCATTTTTCCCACGTGGATGGGGCGGAGGCCCACGCGTACGTGCGCTCTCCCCCCGTCGAGGAGACCGTCGCTGTGCACCTGTGTCCTGCAGAAGCCAAGACCCTAGGCTCGGACATCAGCCTCCCCTCGAAGCCATGTAGGACCACCGTCCACCTCGCTAGTAAAGCGTACGCATCTGATGGCGAGGCGGCTTCCGCGTTGCACGCCATTGCGGTGCTGCAGGTTTTCCAGGCGAAGCTCCTGCAGGTGGTGGAGGGCAAAGCCCTCACTGCGGATACCATTAAGGATCTGCACTGATGGCGACGAAGTGATACATTTATGCATTTAGCAGACACTTTTACCCAAAGCGACTTACAGTGCATTCAGGCTATAGATTTTTTTTTTTTTATCAGTTTAAAGTTTTTACTTTTGAATCTTGACCTTGAATATGTTTTGTCAATAATTTTGTAATATATGTGATTATTAAATACTGTAGTCTTAATACTCTGAAGTCTTTTTTCTTGTTTTCCTGGTTCTGTATGACCTTGGATAAACTCTATTTGCAAACAGTCTTTGTAAATGAACCACTTGCACTGGAGTTTAGATCTTTTTATTTCTTCTTAAATTCTATGGGCATCCATTTTATTTGCTCTTTTTGTTGTGTATGTTACTGTTTTGTGATGTAAAGACCAAAATAGCTATTGCAAAATAAATGGACATCTGATCTCACCAACATATTCACCAAATTGCGTGATCTTTTATAGGAAGGTATTCGTTAAAATAAACTGAAGCTTGAAATCACCAAAACAAACACGCCCCTACCCCAAAAGGGTCTCGCCCCTATTTTGATAGCTCCACCCCACACATATGTATGCAACCCAGGTAACGATTAGTTCTGTGAAACACAGTGATGCTGTCTACACCATATATATATATATATATATATATATCTATGCTCTACACTGGATGCAGCACGGCACGACACATCAAATCCCTGCCAGAAAACTGCTGCGTTCTATTCATGACGTATTGAGACATATTTCAAATGATTTTCAACGGTCGCTGTGACGCGTCCAGTGTACTAGACAGACTTTAGCTGTTACTCACCTATCGAGAAGAAACAAAACAACCTCGGCGTCTGATCATTAAAATGGATACAATATAAAAGACTTGAAGGCTGTAAAGAAAGGCCAGACCTGGGAAAATATTTCCTGTTTCTTAGTACCAGTCAAGTATTGTGACGGAATGTGATCGTTTTATATAATGAACAGGTTTGAACTTTGAACTTATATTATAATATTAGTTGTAAAAATGTACATATAGTTTTATTTTTAACAGCAAATGACCAAATCTCAAGGGCAAACTAGTAGACAGCCAGAGATAAAGTCGAGGGTCAAGCAACATCTAAAGCTCTGTTAATTCTCAATAAGAATTCTGTAGATGTCTGACAGAAATAAAGTCTGTCTGGTTACTAGTGAAGCTGATAATGCTGTTTGTATGGTTGTTTACTCCTCCTCTGCTGATATTGAGAGATAAATGTTAGCATGAAAACGATGTACTAAAAACAGATGACAATGTTGTCAAATTGATCCCCATTCACACAAATCTGTGAAAACGACAAAAAAGATGTATTATGCATGCCAGGCTAGTGGTCGGCGATGTCACTTTGTCAAGAAACACCCAGCAAAAACGTAATATGTCTGCGTGAACAAATAATACACATATGCATGACGTCAGTCTTTTCACACATTCACGTTTTTGTTGTTTACATGGACAAGGTAAAGGAATCGTTTTCAAAACTTTGCACTTTGAAACCCATTTTCAAATGCTTGCATTTTCAGGTCCCCAAAATGGTGTTGTCGTGTAAATGAACAGCCAAAAACACATTAAAAGTTTTGTTTAAACAGCCCCTTAATGACTTCTTAATCTTCAGTTGATTTCATCTAAGGCATTGGCTGGAAGTCAGTTGTAGTTCTTGGGTTTCTCTTGTTCATTGTTCCTTCACCAATTCTGTAATAGCAGGTGTTCATCATTAATGCTCAATCGTCACTCGACTGATCACTTAATAATTAACCTTTTTAATTAACTAGTTAACTTTTTTAACACTTACATACATACTGAGTGTTAATTTAAGGCTGTGTACTAGCTTTCCCTATCTGATGGCAATCTATTCCACAATTTTGGAGCATAATTTGCAAAGGCTGCATCACTGATTTTCTATCATCTATAGCTGGGAGAACCTGCAGTATTAGATGATATTAAAGTTCTTGATAGTGTATAATAAACAAGAGAACTGGCAATATATAATTAGGTCCTTGCCCATTACGGGCTTTATATGTAATGAGGAGGCATTATCCACCTTTTTCCTGAGTAAACGATGAGCACCGCCATTACAAATTCTAACTTCCGATTGGATGCTCTTCAGTTCCGGTCTCCATAGGAACCCATTCTATCAGCGCCCATCTGTTTTCAATATAGCTGACTTTGGCAGTCTTGTGTCACCTACACACTCTAAAAGATGAAGACCTGACAAAAGACGGTCATTTTAAAGTGATGGCGCTATGGATCCATATGCTTTTTTAAACCATTTTAATAGGTTTAACATAAGATTATCAGCTCATTTGACTAGAAACACTGGTGACTGGAAATGTAAAGCATCCTTTTAGTTACGAGTCAGGCACAACTTTCGTATTCAGGAAAAAGATGGAGAGGAATCCAGTGCAAAGCAACTATACTGGTGTTATATGTTCTCCTTTTTAGTTCTAGTTAATAACTGAGCTGGCGAAGTTTGGATAAGCTGAAGTCTATCAATTGATTGTTTTTGGGAGATGCAGTAAAAAGTGCATTACACTAGTCAAGTCTACTTGAGATACAAGCATGGACTAGTTTTTCTGCATCTTTCTGCTTTAAAAAAAAAAAGTCAAACATGGGAGTCAAAAGTTAAATCTGGGTCAAAAATGACAGAGACTTGTCAAACCTCAGTCAATTTGACCAAATTCTTAAACAACATTGCTCTTTTAGTCTTAGGGCCAACTAATAGACTAATAGGATATTTAGGATAGTTTTATGTTTGTTCAACTTTATAAAGTTGTTACTCATGAAATGATTTACTGCCATAATGCAAGTAGTGATCAAATGAATAGCCACAGTATCATTTAACAGTGTTCGTGCTGTCAAATGGTTGCTAGTGTTACATATTCTCCCAGTCTAGGGTTGGGAGAGGGGGTAACAGGGTAAAATTAACCAAAAAGAGAAACAAATAGAAAACATCCCTTCAGTCCTCTACCCCAGAAATGAGAAAACCCCTCGTTGTGGAAAATAATTTTGTTTTATTTGTTTTAATAACACGACATAAGAAAAATGGAAGCAATTAATCCTCAGGAGAGGGTCTTAGCCAAAACAACAAACAAAAAGGTTATTAACTGTCAGGAGGAGAACTAAATGACCTAAACAGGTAAAAGAAATAAACAACATAAGCTTCCCTCTACTCTCTTGCTAACCAAAAACAGGGGTGAACATATTTAAAAGAAAACGTGACACCCTCTCCCTAGAGCTTCCCACGAGGCTAAAAGAATGAGAAGGATTAACAAGATAAATAGACACAATGCCTTTTAATGCAGACACATTTTAAAAGGAAAGAAAATAATCACAATAATTGATCAACCAAAACACATCTTAATAGCAGGTTTAAACATGGCCTTATTTAAAGTCCATTTCAAGACTGTTTACTGTCAGCAAACAGCACCCTCTGAACACTATTTGTACATGTGTTTGTACATAATTTTTTTTTCACTCCTTGTTTTCTTTGCAATAGTTTTTTGTTAATTATATAGTACATTGGATCCAGAAGTAGAGAAAAATTCATGACAGTTTTCTTCACAGTGCAGGTTGAATTACATTACACTATGGTAACATGTATAACAAAATACAACCCAGATCAAGTGGTTTATTTGTGAAGAGTTACTCCAAAGACCTACAGAATAAAAAAAACAAGAACAATCAAAACAATGATCAATATAATTAGAGCATTATAGTTGCCTCTGTGCTTTTGTCTAACCAGGACAGAAGTGCCGTTTTTCAACTCTTGATTAAACTCTATGATAGCAGTGTCTCTAGCGTCTTTCATTTCATTTAGAGTCTTCTGAAAATGAGCAGCTGTTTCTCTCATCTGATGAATGAATTTCAAAGCATCTGATTTTTTATTTTTAGCATTTATTTTGTCTGCTGATTGATTCATTTCAGAGATCTCCATTGAATTTTTAACAATGGAGTAAACATCGACAGCAACAAACAGAGCTGAGATTACACCACCGACCGCCGCTGCTGAACGGACAGCTTTTGCTGTTTGTGCTGACACACTGACAATTCTGACGTTCTCTGAAGACAAACGCATGTATTTGGCAAACTTTGATGTCAAATTAATATTTCTGACAGTGTCTGAAGATGAACGAATTTTGTTGACAGCACCTGAACAGACCTGGACGGCTGTGGTAGCCTGTTTGGTGCAAAAAACAGCATTGTCAAACTGTTTAGCCGCTTCACTCTTTTGGGGCATTTCAGCTTTAGGAAGTCCTGAAATGGCTGAAACACCTCTCACTTTATCTACTCCTCCCTGCATCATCCTTGTTGGTATATAATAATTCATATCCTGCTGCACCAGCTGTTGAATGTCTTCTGTGCTGTTAATTATTGTACTCAGAATCTCAAACATTGCGTTTATTGTGTTCTGGAAATCACTGGTGATTTTCTCAATATTCTCTCGTAGGCGTTTCTGCTTGGTGTTGTTAATGCTCTTGCATATTGTACCTGTTGCTCCTCCAGCTACTCCAACAACACCACCAACAGCAGTAAGAACTAAAGAAACACCTAATGTGACCGGGGCCAAAGCCAGACCCACTATAGATGTGATTCCTCCAGCTGCTCCCATTGTTGCTCCTGTCAAACTGCCCACTGTAGTGTTCTTGTGCATGGATTCCAGTTCATCAGTGATGGTAGTGAGCTTCTCTATTTGACCAGTGAGTGACTGATGCGTTCTGTCAAAATCTAAGTTCAATTTGTTTATCTTTGTTTTGAAGTCATCAAAAATGTGAAGCTTCCTGGAATATTAGAGAGTATTTTAAATTTGTGCATTTTATAAATTGCCAGTGTTATCAGTCAACTGGGGATCGGGTCAACTGGGGACATGCATGCCCTTACAGGCAATTAATTTTACTTGGATTCCCATGTGGCAACACATTTTTTGAATGTTATTTTCCAAAAATACAAATCAAACATGCTCGTAATCATTAGTGGAATATCGTTAATAAACTGTGTTGTTTTCTCTGTTCTCATGTATTTGACACAGTTTAAGCATGAGTATAGTTTGGGGGAGTCATGTTTAGAATATCACATGCAGTGATTCTGTCATTGTCTAACATCTGCTGGAAAGACAATTTTTTTACATGTACGCGCATGTCCCCACTGATCCATAACACCGGGATTACCACAGAGAGAACATGTTCTGGTAAAGTACACCGTGTGACTACATTTTAACTTCTAAAAATAATACTTGTCATAATACAAATATAAATTACATATTACACATTTATAAAGCTGAAGTTTAGAGCAAGAAATGCTTACCGTTTCCATGTCTCCTCTAGTGGATCCCCACAAGTGTCAAACCCTGATTTGAAGTGGTCCATCACAGACAGATATATTTCTGCTCGAGTCTCAGATCAAAGTGAAAATTAATTAACTCATCCATGAGCAAGCAGTATGAATATTGCTCTTAGAAGTATTTACTACGTGATTAAGAAAAACTCGTATAAAAAATTATATAGGAAATATTGCATGCATAGCAACTTATCTTAAATAATGTGCTTTTTTTTCCAAAAAGAAAAGAAACAGGCTTACCTTAGGTTTAAGCGTATCCACTGAATTCACTTTGTTTTCCAGTTGACATGATTATGAAAAGGGAGAAAGGCAAGGTGGGTGTCAAATAGTTTCATAAAATGCTGTTGTTAGTAAATAGTTTACTGCAGTTAAGCAATATTACTTACTATCATGCAGGTTACCTATAAATAAATTTGTGTATTCAAAAATGTGTCCCCTCAGTTTATAAACCGTTCTTACAAATTCACAAACTGTTCCCTCGGTTTAACAAATCGTGCCCATGGATTAATAAACGGTACCAGTGAATTTCCAATCCATGCGCTCAGATTTGTAAACTGTACCTTCGGTTTTTCAATCCATACCCACAAATTCATAATCCGAGTGCACGCTTTCGCAATCCGTTCCCACAGGTTTATAAACTGTACTCACTGATTTGTGGCTCTGCCCTCATTTTAGAAGAACAGGAAGCTCTTATGGTAGCCTACGAGTTAACGAATCCTATTGTATGTTGTTTTATTGTAAATTATTAAGTGGAATACATCAAATTGTTTTAACTGCATGCTCACATCACATCACACACATCACATCACATCACATCACATCACATCACATCACATCACATCACATCACATCACATCACAGGCTTTCATAGCCGAATGGTAAGGAACAGTTTCAGTTGTATTTCTACTTGAGCCTGGTATGGCATGGCACAATTACAAACGGAATTCACATCGCCGCTCAGGATTGGTCACTTGTCTGCTGCCTGGCTGCCAGTTTCTCCGTAGCTTGCTAAATGCGCTGTTTGAGCGATGTGAACCGTGATTAATAGAATAAAAATAAATCTCATGTCATCCTTCATAATGCGTTTGTTACATCTCATATTGTCTATAAAATATTGCGTATTGCGTATTATGTAACATCAGAAATGAAAGGAAAAACGGTGTAAAAAGTTAATGTATTTATTCCTGTGATTAGGATGTACCACATGTCAAAAAAGATAAACATCTATTCTGCAGTGCCACAAACATATAAAACATCAAAATAATTTGGTTATTGCAAGCACTTAATATACTAATGTTATACTAATGTTGAGGATTTCTGGAGGCACAGTTTTCTGTCCATTAACTGCACATGGAAAATCTGCGTGATCCGCAGATGATTAAATGGCTTTCTTTAAAAAACGCTTTTTTGATGGCCATTTTTTCAGCAAAATGTGTCAGTAAATTACTCTCTGTGGCTCCGCAGTGTTTACAGTAGGGCCCAGAAGATTCTAAAGTGACGTTGTGGCCAAATCCGGGTTTTTTGCCCAAGATACTGTCCAGTAACTATGTTAACACACCAGTGATATTACCAGCATTTCATTCGGTAGACCTCGAGATGCGTCACGAGTAGAGCCCGACCTATATGGGACCGGTGTGATAAGCATGAGTTCTGGGACGCGGCTCAGCTGGTATAAACACAAGCATTGACTGCCGCCATCAGCTCCGGTTGCCGTGGAACCGTAATGCGCCACAGACGCATGCAGTGATGTGCAGATCAGCTATAACATCTGCTGTTAAAAATTAACCAACCGTCATATCATCATGCAAAACTAAGAATTAGAATCAGTGTAATGTGACGATCTTTTCACAAATTCTGTGTTGTGTATTTTCTGGTAATCAAATGAACATGCAGAACATGAGGATTCGTATTTAAATAGTCTTTTTGTCCTAGTCTAATATTCACAGACACTAGTCTATATCGCGATTTGATTTAATTGTACTGACCTGTTTTTTAGTTATTCATCAGAAATATGACAGATTCTGTGAAATTCCACGTTATACCATAACGAAATTCCATATTCCACAATATGTCCGCATTTTCTGCATCGTGGAAATCATAGGGCTCTACTAATGCAGCAAACGAATATGATAAGCTCATTGTGAGAGTAAAAGACAGGGACATTGTTTATTTACTTTATAGCATTGAGTCTCACCAACTAGGTTACAACGTAGTGTAAATCACCATTCAACAGACTCAAGCCACCACCACACTGCCATCTATTGGACCGCAGAAAGATACTAACTTTTCAATCTGCTCCGTTACTGATTCTGACAAACTGTGCTGAATTAGGAAATGTGATGTGACCGGTGTGATAAGCATGAGTTCTGGGACGCGGCTCAGCTGGTATAAACACAAGCATTGACTGCCGCCATCAGCTCCGGTTGCCGTGGAACCGTAATGCGCCACAGACGCATGCAGTGATGTGCAGATCAGCTATAACATCTGCTGTTAAAAATTAACCAACCGTCATATCATCATGCAAAACTAAGAATTAGAATCAGTGTAATGTGACGATCAAATATAGGTGCCGGTGAGCGGCGGGTGGATAATTTGAAGCAGTGGACTCAGGTGAAGTTTGAGCTCATCCGCACATCTCTATACTACAGTGACCTGGGTCACCAGTAGCAAACAATGGAGCGCGTTCGATTATTAGGCCTACTAATGAGATCATAGACAGCGGCAGCTTTAACAGGCTGCATTCACACTAATGCACAGATCTATTTCGATATATCAGATGTTCTGTCATGCTCTGAAAACATAACTGACTGTGTGTACATCAATTCCGTTTAAAAGTCAAAAATTCATTTATGCAAACGCATTTAACCGCAGCCGCAATCGAGCTTCAGGACAAACAAACACAAAGCGCAAGTGAAAGTCTAATAGTCAAGTCACCTTTATTTAAGTCAGTGAAGTGAGCTGTGGCCAAGCAAAGCAGTGTCAAACTGTGTCAAAGCAGCCTTACAGTATTCAATAGGAAAATAGTGTCAATAATGCAGAAGGACAATAAGCACTCAGTTTTCAGTTAAAGGCGGTTCATCATTGAATTCAGTGATGTCATCATCCAGCTCAGTTCAGTTTAAACATACATGCTTAAAATTAAATACATAAAAGTGTACAAAAATATGCATATTTGCATAAGTATACATATAAAATACACATATTTGCATACAGTAATTTCACAGTTTGGCACATATGTGCATGCTCACGGTTCATACTATGAATACTTTCCTAACTGTTTAGTAAAAATAACGTTTATGGATTCAGTAAAAACAATACCTTCCGGTCCAGGCCCCGTTAACTGAATGCCGATACTGTTAACAAACTGAATCCTGATGTGAGGAGCAACCCAAATGTTCGTACGTTTTGTAAATGACATATGTGTAGAAGAAATATGTTGATAGAATCCTCTGTAGACATGCTGGCTCGGCCGGCGGCATCGTTAGGTGATCTGGACCCATGTACAGTTTGGGTCCCTTAGTACAAAACTCTTCTATTCAGACATTTGTGTATAATCAGAGCCAGAACCACAAACACAGTCAGTCCAACAATCAAATTCCAAACCCAAACAGCTGGAAGGGGAAGGTGGGAAGAGAACACATTTTTAATGCTTTTTTAAACTCACCGCTTAAAGATGTTGTAAAGTTCTCAATACCTTCAGTTTTACTTACTATGTTGTTCAGTGTCATCAGTTTTGTGTGTATCTGTGTCGTCCAGTTTGTCTTTTGATTCTGTACCACATTCTGTAGAGGATATTGAAAGGTCAGACTCACAGCAATGCACAGCAAATGCCAACAATGCCAAAATGACCCCAACAAAACGCGAAAATTAACCTTTTTTTTTTTTTTGTATTGATTACCATTTGTATAACCACAGTTGTACAAATACTATGGTTAAACTATGGTTAGTGTAGTAAATCCATGGTTAATTTGTGGCTATGGTTTAACTATAGTAACCATTTTTTTGTTTTTATTTATTTTTTACATAAATGTATTTATTAATTAATTCATTTTAATAGTAAAACCATAATTAATTCTTGTAAGGGAAGTTGTAAAGTAAGTTAGCCAGCTTACATGCTTTCACAGATACAGTAATTGTTTTGCAGCGCGTTTCTTTATTTGGTTGTGTTGTGAGTATTTGCAGCACGTTTCTGTTTTTGCAGCGCGTTTCTTTATTTGGTTGTGTTGTGAGTATTTGCAGCACGTTTCTGTTTTTGCAGCGCGTTTCTTTATTTGGTTGTGTTGTGAGCATTTGCAGTGCATGTGTTGTCAAACTGATGAAGATGTTTTCTTAATTTGCAGGTGTTTTTTCTATTTGCATTTGTTTTTTCATTTGCAGCGCGTTGAGCTCTCTCGGCCACCATACAAATGCCCAATTGACACAAACACAAACTCGTAGAAATCCAGTAACCTGCTACAAAACAATCCTTTTAATCATTGAAGAAATAATTTGATTACAATGAGTAATTAATATAAGACAATTGAATAAATAATAATAATAATAATAATTAATAACATTAATAATGTCACTAATAAAAACTGTCATCATGATGATAAACATGTTGGCTCATTTCCTTAGCATTATTAGCAAGTTAGCAGGCAAACTTTATCACAAACAAAACTATTGGTATAATAACACAAAAACATAGGCTACAAGCTTTATGTTTAAAAAGTTAAAAACGTACATTGTAAAAGTTCGGCATGAATCTTACATTCTGTGTGTCTAAATTTCATAAACCACTGCACGTTTAGCGAGATCTACGTAAAAACAAAACCGAAAGTATAACTCCCAACACAGAGAGCTTCCAGAGTCTGGGAATTGGGAGTCTGAGTCTTTATTGCCCTCTGTTGGTTATTCTGTCAAATCAGATTGAGCTGTCAGAACAGAAGTCGCTCTGTTAGCTTGCATAGACACTTGACTAACAAAATACTGTGTGTAGATTTGTGAGTCTAGACATAGTCCAGATACAGTCTATTAATAAGAGGTGAAGTCCACCAAACATTGTGCAGCTTCCGTCTGTTTGGTTCCACATACGGCTGCATATTGCATATGCATGGGGGAAGTCGTGGCCTAATGGTTAGAGGACTCGTAACCCAAAGGTTGTGGGTTCGAGTCTCGTACTGGCAGGGATTGTAGGTGGGGGGGGGGAATGTACA